TAGATAGACAGAAGTGTGGTGAGGTTCACCAAAATAACGAGTGTGGCACACAGCAAGTGTGGAACAAGTGCAACTCAACAGCCATTTTTCCTTTCTACCAGCAATAGCCGCTAGGCTCGGCCGCCTTCCCATTTCCAGTCCCTCAGAATTGGGCTGGAGCATGGGACACAGACCTATGTCAGTCTCAGCACAGGGCATTCTCCCGGCCGGCCATTGGTTCAAGGAGTCATGTGCCCCAAGAGAGGGCATTTAGGGTCTGTGTAGGGCGTTTGCTGGAAATGCTCAGATATTTGCCCCCCAGGCTGGGAACCCAGAAGCACGCATTGCTGCTAGAACTGTCATGTGTCCACACAAGGGGCGACAACAAACGGAGGCACTAGAGAGAGGAGGGCTGGAGAGAAACTAGAAGGTGGTGATATAATAGGCCTCTGACTCCAGCCACACTTGATTAGTTTCTGACCTTCTTAGCAACCAGGGATCCCATCCTTCCACTTCTGGGAACATCTTTTGAGGCTACAGACATCAGGATGAAAAGATTTTAAAACTGAGGTCCAACATCCCCAAAGGTCCCCAAAGTTCAGAAATCTAGTGGCGGAGTCTGGACTAAAGGAAAGTCTCCTCACTTGTATTCCAGTGCACTTGGCACCAAACATGGTCCTCTTTCTGGAATTATTGCTCATCAGCTCCGAGACTAAGTATATACATACCGAGTCAATAAAGCAAAAGTAAGGAAAACCCAGAGAGATTCTCCTGAGGGGACTGAGGGGGCTAAGATGGGATGCAGGGCATGCACAAAGGAGGGGTGCCCAAGATATATGGGTCAGCTGCCTTAAAGGGTTCGCTCAGGTGTCTCTGAGAGGCAGTTAGAAGAGGTGGGGGGTGAGGAAGAAATTGAGTCTAGAATTTTTTCAGATGGGTTACTAGGTGCTAGTCATGAGGCCAGGGTGGCCTGAATGTGGGTGGGATTTGGTGGAAATGATAGCAGCCATGGTTAGAAACTTTACTCCTGCAATGGACAGAAAGCCTGGATCAAATTAGCCTTAAAAAAAAAAAAAAAAAAAAAAAAAAAGGTTGTTGGCTCTTCAAAAGTAATGGCTTCAGGAACACTGATCTGGGTGCTTAAACAGGCTATCAGAACTCACCTGGCTCCCTGCTCCATGGATGTGGCCTGTTTCTCCCTCTCCCTCTGTTGCTCCCCCTCCTTGTGCTCTCTCTCAGTCAAATAAATAAATAAAATCTTGGGACACCTGGGTGGCCCAGTGGTTGAACATCTGCTTCCAGCTCAGGGCGTGATCCTGGAGTCCTGGGATCGACTCCCACATCAGGTTTCCCACATGGAGCCTGCTTCTCTCTCTGCCTGTGTCTCTGCCTCTCTATGTGTGTCTGTCATGAATAAATAAATAAAATATTTTAAAAATAAATGAACTCTTAAAAAAAAGAACTTTTCTACTTCCATTTCTATCCACTATGCTTTCCTCTGTTGTGCCTTCATTCATAGGCAGGCTCTGCCCAAGCAGAAGCGTGCAAACAGGGGATCCTTGGGTGGCTCAGTGGTTCAGTGCCTGCCTTTGGCCTGGGGCATGATCCTGGAGCCCCCGGATCGAGTCCCACGTCCAGCTCCCTGCATGGAGCCTGCTTCTCCCTCTGCCTCTCTGTCTCTCTCTGTCAGAGACCCATCTCTGTCTCTCTCTCTCTTTCTCTCTCTCCCTCTCTCTGTCTTTCATGCATAAATAAATAAAATCTTTAAAAAAAAAAGCATGCAAACACTGCATTTGGACACCTCTTCCCCCACCAGTGCATAAAGAGCTTCCCTTTGCCCAGAGTTCCCCCCAAAGTCTCAGGAACGTGTCTCATTGACCTGAGTGTTCCAGTATCAACCAATTACTGGCCCAGGAGGTGGGATATAAAGTTTGGCCATCCTGGGTCACGTGCACATCCAAGTGGGGCTGCCACGCAGCAGCTGCGTGAACACTGGCAAAGCAAATCTGATGGCAGCGATGTTAGTGCACTGTTGGAAGAAGGAATGGGTGCTAGGAAGGCGACAATAAAAATGTCCTCTATAGATGATAAAAGGTAGTCTGCAGATTGCTAATAACAACTTTTTTTTCTTCCTGGAATCAAATAAGTTCAGGAAATACCAAGTTAGGCAAAGAGAAACATATTTTATCACAGGATCTCTCTCCAGCACATTTCGTCCTGCAAGGGGGTCTGAGAGAACCCTGCTTTTCCCAGGCCCCCCGACCACAGAATTCTTTTTTTTTTCTTTTTAATGATTTTATTTATTTATTCATGAGAGAGAGAGAGAGAGAGAGAGGCAGAGACACAGGCAGAGGGAGAAGCAGGCTCCCTGCAGAGAGCCCGGTGCAGGACTTGATCCCAGGACCCTGGGATCATGACCAGAGCTGAAGGCAGATGCTCAAGTACTGAGTCACCCAGGTGTCCCCCACAGAATTCTTTCTTGAGAAGCTGCCCCCAGGACTCAGGGGCCACAAGATGCATTTTGAGGAAAACAACCCCGAGCACCACAAAGAGCCCAAGCAGTGTGGGTCAGCGTCCCTCACGGTCCACAGCTCGCTGGCCTGAGCTGCCGCGGGCACCTGCCTCCCTCCGCTCCAGGCTTGCTTCGGGCACCAGAAGCAACTGTGTCCCTGGGAGCCACAGCCAGAAGTTCTGGAGAATTAGGTGGGGACTACTGGGCAGAGATGTAGAAATACTTGAGGTCCCTCCCCGGCCAGCACGGCCCACACCCACATGCTCCTCACCCCTGCACTCTGCCCCTGGCTGGCGTCCAGCATGCTGTCACAGGATGGGGCCCCAGGGCCCTGTAGTAACCTGCTTCATAATGCACCCTTGTCGGACGCTTTCTTTTTCCCATCTCACTCCCCTACTCCCCTGTTTTTGCGATCACTTCCCAAATAAACTACTGGCACTAGGACTCTCACCTCAAGGACTGCCTCTGAGAGAACCCAAATCAAAAGAGCTGTTGCTTACTGATGGCTTTTAGAAGCACCCAGAGGCCTCCCCCAACAATTTCAGAGAACACACTCTCTTATCACTAAATTGACCTTTCCTCTCAACAGCAGACTTCAATTTAAAAAAAAAAAAATCTTTTTCTTCTCCTCAGTTTCCAGGGGAAGCTTGCAAAGATTCTTTCCACTGGCCACTCCAGCCCCATAGACCTCATTGCATTGACTCTGTCTGTCCTGCCTGGCTCATCGATTGGTGGAGGCAAAGCCACATATTCTTGCTGGTCCAAGAAGTAAAAATGGGCAGCTTTTCATGTTTCAGGGAATGCCCCTACCCCCAATTCAACAAGACAAGGACCAGAGTCACCTTGGATTTCCCCATGCCTCACAACACAGGGCCATCCCCACATCCCTCGCTTCAGACTCCCAAACAGCTCATTCTACCTCTCTCCACTGCCTCTCCTTCTTTAGCTAGCCCACCACCACTTTTCACAAGGATACTCCCAACAGCCTCCTCTCTGCTCCCACTTCAGGGCCTTTGCACAAGCTGCTCCTGAGACCTGGAACTCCCTGTGCAACTCACTCACTTGGCACAGACCCTTGACTCTTGGCCTATTTACTGTCTCTTAAAACTGCCCTATCCTCCCTTCCCCCACTCATTCCCTCCTTGGGCCTCGGCCTCTCTTATTATGAAATGGCTCAGATACGCAAACACTTAAGAGAATCACACATCACACACTGGTATACCCAACCCTGCTTAAGAATAAGACAAGACACTCACCACTGAGGCCCTCCTAAATGCATTCTCAACCATTCCCCACACTCTGCCACATGGTTGCCACTCTCCTGAACTTGGTATTCCTCGTCGCTTTGCCTACCTTGCATACGTGTGTATCCCTGAAGTATAGGTATACCCATTTTCTTTTTTTTTTTTTAAGACTTTATTTGAGAGAGAACAAGCAAGAGAGCATAAGTGGGGGGAAGGGGCAAGAGGAGAAGCAGACTCCCCACTGAGCAGGGAGCCCAATGCGGGGCGTGACCCCAGGACCCTGGACCTGAGCCGAAGGCAGACACTTAGAGCCACCCCAGTGCCCCTATATACCACTTTTCATGTTCTCAACTTTATATAAATAAAACAACTTGTTTTCCTTTTCTCGCTCCATACTCTCTTGGTGATGTTTGTCCGTGCTGACAGGTGCCACCCCAGTGCACTCATTTTTACCTGCTGGGAAGCATTCACGGTGTGACAAGGCTACAAGTGCTCCATCCACTCTCCCCCAATCGCCTCTACTGTTGCCAGCTGTTGGCCATTGGCCATTGCGACGCTGCCCCAAGCCTCTGGCACCCGCCCCCTTAACCTGCAGGCTGTTTGCTCAGGATTTCTACCCAGGAATCTGCTGGGTAAGGAGACACACCATCTTCAGCCTTACTGATGTTGCTAGATTGTTCTCCAAGGTACTTGTACCAACATACCTGTTTGGTAAACTTTCTGTTCCTCAGCCCAGAACAGGTGCCTCTTCCCTGCTTCCTCCAAACAAACTCTACCTGTTGACATCCAGCCTGCCCAGCCCTCTCCCCAGGCCTTCCTCCCCCGCTTCAGCAATCGGGCCTCTTACAAGCCTCCCTGGTAGAGCAGCCGGCAATTTGCACAACAGCCGGAGCAAGAACGTTAGCAGCAGTGACTCCAGAGGCCAACAGCTATGGATGGAATCCCGGATTTGCCATCTGGGCTGTGTGCCTTTGGGCAAATGGCGTCTCCTTTCTGGGCCTGTTTCCTCACCTGTGAATGGGGATACCCAGGGTAAACCGACCACAGGGGAATGGCAGTGATCAAACAAGATAAGCATGGAAACATGGTGGGTGCTTGAAGATAAGTTGTTACTATTGCCTTTGAAGCCCACAGGGGACGCCGACAACTCCACATCACTCAGGACTACTTTGGCTGTAGGCAACAGAAACCCCAAGTCAAGTCGGTGGAAGACAACTGGTAATTTATTGGCCCAGGTAACTGGGAAGTCAGAGGTGTCTCGCTTTGGATGTGACCAGATCCGGGAATTCCGATGCCATTGGGAAGCTGGCCCTGTCCAGATTTGGGCCATTCTGTCCTCCACATCACCTTCATTCTCGGGCAGGCTCTCCAAGTAGGGGCTCTAGGAAGAGCCAAATTTACCAAGCTGTGTGTAAGAAGAGCTTCGCCTTCCAGACACTTTCTGCCAAATCCCAGGGTTGGTCCTCGGGGGCCCAGGTTAGGTTTATGTGCCCAGACCAGAGCCAGTCACAGTGACCAAGGCATCCACCAGAAGCTGCTTGAAGTGTGCTTCTCAGAACAGAGCTGTTGGAACTCCCTGGTAGCTCCTTTGAAAATGCAGACTCTCAGACCCCATTCCAGACCTACTCATTTGGAATTTGCATTTTGGCAAGACCTCCAGGTGAGCCATCTGCACACCAAGGTCTGAAGAGGCTACACTGCACATTACCTTTCAGTTGCCTGGGGTCAAGTCCATCCCCTTGCCTTAAAGATGGAGAACCTGAGGGCCAGTGGGAAGCAATCTTGTTCTATGCATCCACTCTGCACCCAGGGCTTCCTCATGCATTGCCCTCCCATCATCCCAGCCATCATCTGCCATGTCCATGGACGACCTCATGGGCAAGGGATGCCCTGAAGCCTGGACAAGCCAGCCTGGGTTGGACTTGCCTCGCACCAAGGTGCCGTGTCCCGGCCACCATTCAGGCACTCCTAGTACCTGTCAGGCCCCTCAGGAGCACGGCAGCCCCACACACAGACACACACAGGCTCGTGCACACATACACTCCCACAAAGGTGCTCAGGCACAGCCCACCCTCATGTAGACTCCCATCCACCAGGCCCCCCAAAGGCAAGAGTGCTACAGACCACAGCAGCCTTTATTCTACTGCAGAACAGGGCTGAGGCCAGGGTAGTTCATTCTCAGGCTGCGTCAAAAGGTGCAGTGCTGGGGGCACACACACTGCACCCCAAAGTGACAATAAGTTAGGGGGAGATTCTCAGACTGTTCTCTGGCTGGAGTCAGGGTGGGGTGCCAAGTGGGGGCCCCCCAGAGCCCTGCCAGTTGCCCAGCTGAGCGCTCCCAGGACAGGCTTGTTCCAGGACAGGCATGGCCTCTCCCTGAAACAACAGGGCAGGGAGAGGAAAGGGATGTGACGTCAGGAGGTCAGTGGGCTCAGAGGGGTCCCCAAAGGAGTCGGAGGATGGGCTGAGGGGCAGGGCGGGGCAGGCAGGACCTCTCACCGGACCCTCAGTTAAGCCCCTGCAGATTCTCATAATCTGGAGCTCCCTCTTCTTCTTCTTCGTCGTCGTCATCATCATCATCATCATTGTCCTCCACCTCCTGGGAGCTCAGGATGACTGGGAAGGGAGGGAGGTCTTCGGCTCTCAGACCATCCCCCCTTCCCCAGATGGGCTCCCCAGGCTTGGAACCCAGGTTGGGGGTGGTTGCCCCACCCCCCACCTCCCACCCCACCCCATCCCTGGCCAGCACACACCAGGGTCGGTCCCAGCCAAGGACGGCAGCTCCTGAGATACATTCACATACTCCCGGCTCCCATCTGCAGGGGACGGATGAGAAAGGAGGCCGGCCACGTGGAGGGTGAGAGAGCAGGACACTCAGAGAGAGGGTCACAGCAGGGTGAGGGAGGGAAGGGGGATTCCAGGGAGCCCCCCCCAGGGAGCCCTCCCCCCCCGCCACTCACCCAGAGATGCATTTGCACTTTCCTTGCTCTCAGGGACGTTCACATAATCCTCCCCCGACTCCACTGTAGGAGAAGCAGGGCCCCCGGCACCGTCACCCAGAGGCCGAGCACAGGCACCCACGGCATCCCCACTGGACTCCTGACATGACCAGCCCCAAACTCCCATCCACAGACCTCAGAGGTCACCCCATAGCCAGCCCTGGGGGGGTCCCACAGAGGCCTGGGTGATGGAGAGAAGTAGGGTAACTTGGCCAGAACCGATGAGAAGGAGAGGAATTGTGGGAGAGAATGGACGGCAGACCCTGCCAGCATGTGCCCCAGGCTGGGGGCGAGGATGGAAAACGGCTCAGAGCTGAGGCGCTGGTGCCGCCGGCCAGGCCAGCCCTGCACCCCCAATCTCGTCCCAGTGCCGTCCAGGCCCTGTCGTGCTCGGCGCCATCTTGCCCTTTCATGCTGACTTGTTCCTCCATGAGGCCGTGGACAAGGCGGGCTCTGGAGCCAGAGCGCCCAGGTTCAAGCCCGGCGCCAGCACTCACAGTCGTGCAACCTCACGAGAGGTCCCTAACCTCTCTGGGCCTCGCTGTTCTCCCCAGTGTAAGAGGGTGAGCAGCAGCACCCCCTCCCAGGGGTGTCGTGAGAACTGACGCAGAGAATATGGAAACGGGGCCTGTCCTACGGCGAGTGCCGCCGAGGGCCCGTTAAATAAATAACCCCTCGTGTCGTACAGTCGGGACAACCGAGGCGCAGGATGGGGAGATGTGGGCTCAACAGCACCTGGGAACCGTGAGGTTTAATAAGTTAGTGCACCAGACACTCTCAGGAGGCACGGAGTAGGCTCCCGACAACACTAGGCCTCATCCTGACGCTGCCTCTTGAGCTGTTTGATCAGAGGCGCCCAGTAAATATGGTGAAGGAGGGAAGGACAGGTGATGAACAAATGAAGGAAAAGAAGCCCTAGCACAGATGGCGAGTTGGCGATTGAGCTGGCAAATGGCGCCGGATGGGCCGAACAGGTATGGAGAATGAAGACAGGGCTGGAAAGCTGAAGCTCGCCAGACGCGGGAGGAAGCCTCCAACAGGCAGCGTGAGACCCACACGAAGGGAGAAAAGCAGCTCAAAGGAAACCGAAACGAACTTCCCAAAACCTCTGCCAAAGAAGACAACCTATAAGATTTACAAGATGATGTGGCCTCCATGAGAAAGGAACGGAGGCCAAGAGAGAGCCTCCGGGTGGGAGAGACCAAAGAACAGAGGTCAGAAGAAGAGTGAATCAGAGAAAGGTCGCAAACAATAAAAGGGAAAGACAATGAAAAAGGAAAGAGGATGGGAAGGTAAGGAAATCAGAAGGTCGGAGTGGAAGTGCACCCTGAGGGACAGGCGTCCTAGAGAGAGGAGAGACTGCGGAGGGGCGGCAAGCCTCAGAGAAATCGCCAGAGGGAAGAGCGGAGGGGCGGCCACACGGACAGTCGCCCGGGAACTCACTGGAGAAGGCGCTGTCTCGGAGGCTGGGGTTGCTGGGCACCGGAGCCGGTGGGACCGCAGTGCCGGCGGCTGGCGTGCTGTCAGGAAGCACCTCCCTGAGGGGGAGTCGAGGGGCGGTGAGCGAGGACCCCACTCGGGCCAGGGTCCCCACCAGCCCACCCACCAGGCCACTCACAAGTAGCCCTCGTTGTGATACTCCTCCTCCTCGTCCTCATCATTGTTCTCGCAGGAGAGGTGCTCTGGGGTAACGACACAGCGATCAGGGCGCAGGCCAGGCCCCAGCCTCCCTGCAACCAGGGCCCCCGGGGCCCTAGACGCACCCTCGTTCTCGTAGCTTGCCACACTGTTGGCTTCGGAGAGAGAGCAAGAGGGAGACTGAGTCAGCTCAGAGGGGGTCTCACCTCTGCCCAGCCCCAGCCCTCTGAGCCCCGCTCCACACTTACCACCATCTGAGTCCTGCCGGGAAGACGGCATGCGGTGGGAGCCCCCGGGGGGCTGTGGGGACCTCCTGGGAGTCAAAGGTCACAGGTTATGCTGGGGTGGGGCTCTGGGACAAGCGGGATTGTCACAGGGAAGGGGACCCCCAATCTACAGAGGTGAGGCGGGTAAAGAGGGCATTGTGAAGGGGGAGGATGCTACTTACGGGATGGGAAGCAGGTCCGGCTGGCTCAAGGATGGGTAGGAGGTAACAGGCCCATAGGACGGGGCCGATGGCCAGGGCACAACTGTAGCTGAGGACACAGGACCAAGCACAAGGAGTGACTCCAGACATCTTGCCCCTACTCTCATTGAGGCCTCAAAGGATAGACTAGCCCCATGAAACCTCCTGTGCCCTGGACAGGCCCGAGGACACCCATCTCCCTCTCTAGTCCCAGATCAGGTCAAAGCCATGTGGGCAGCCACGGCGGAGGGAAGGCAGGAGGGGGAACCTGAACAAAGCCACACAGTCTCTCATGCGCCAGGGACCCTCTCTCCTACACCCAAGGGAGGGGACCCTCCAGGTACTCACGAGGCCTTTTGAGCACAATGCTACTTGGGGTCAAGCTGGCAAGAGAGACAGAGCTGGGTCAGGGGCAGGAGAGGCCCCAGCTCCCGTCCCAGCCCCCAGGGTCACACAGGGTAGTGAGGGAGCCACACAGGGTCCATGGGCAACTCACCTATCAGAGGCGGTGCTGTCGTAAGAGCCTGGGGAAGAGAAGTCAGTGAGGCAGGAAGAGGGGTGGCGAGGGGAGAGGGTGGGAGCGCAGGGCTCTCAGGTCTCACACACACAGGACAGAGGTAGGATAGAGCAAGGGGGTCAAGGAGGGCCGAAGATCCCCGAAGGTATGTCCTGAGCGGTGTTACCCGGCGGCCCGCACTCACCTGGCAGCTCTCGGCAGCGCACGCACAGCACTACGGCCAAGAGGGGCAGCAACAGGAGGCCCAGCATATAGGGGATCAGGACGACGGCCTCCATCTGCAGGAGAGCTTGGACCAGGCCTGGCTGCCTGCTGCCCAGCACACTGAGCTGCGGCAGGGTGAGAGCTGGGCCAGCACGGGTGCAGGAACCCAGTGGGCACCAGCCTGGAAGCCTGACTGTGGGCCGGCTGTGCCCTCCTTGGGCACTCCTTGGACCCCCTGCCCCTTGCCGGGCCTCGCAGGGGTCGGCACTGCCTGGGGAAGACCCGTGATCCCAGGGCAGACCGGCCAGGGTCTGGGCCGGAGTCTGGGGCGCCAGTCACCCCTGCTCGGCCCCCGCGCCCCAGCCCTACCTGCCCCTCGGCTAGGCGCCTGCCTCTCAGAGCCTGCCCGCCTGTGGCAGGAAGCTGTGGTGAGCCCCGGGTGAGGGCAGGAAATCATCGGGCTCAGCCGGCTGCCCCCGCCCCCTTCCCACCCCCACCCAGCCAGCGGGGAGGGGGAGGAAGAGGCCTTTGGAGCCACCCCTGGGTCCTCAGGAGGGGTCTGCTGGCCTCCGGGACAAAGAGCTATTCCTACCAGGGAAGGAGGGCAAGATAGTTACAGGCCACCTGACAGCCATGGCGTCCACAGCCAGGACTCAAGGGGGCGGCCAGGAGGGAGGCCCTGACGCTGGGAATCAAGGGGCACGGGGCAGTGCCCACCCTACCTTACCCTGGCTGCCCTACCAAGAGGGGCGGGCTCGAGGGGAACCATGGGCGTGACTCACAGTCACACTGAGCTACTTCACTCCGCACTCTTTTTCACCCGGCCCAGGAGGGCAGGGATTTGCCCAAGGTCCCACACAAGTGACCCCAAAGCCCCAGGAGTCCTGGGGCCAGAGTAGGGGCATCCCCTGCAGACAACCAGAGGTCAGTAACACCCACAGACTCAGGCAAGCACTCAGGGTCTGGCTACAAATTTTATTCAGTTACAAATAGCACCGAGCCCCTGGGGCTGCTCCAGGGGAGAGGAGTCCCCCTCCCAGACCCCCCAGAACCTCCCCACCCTGCCCTTGGCTGCTGCCTGTGTAGTGTGTGGGAGCCAGAACATGGCCCACAGCCGCTCCTAGAAGCCAGGCCAGGCCGAGGGTTTGCGCCTGGGCACCTTCTGGGGTGGGCCTGGGGCCAGCTGCGGTACGTATGCAGGTTGGTGTGCGATGGTCCCTCAGATAAGCACACTGGACACAGGGACCCGGGTGGAGCGGCCTCGCTGGGGTACCACAATTCGGTCATCTGCAGGTCCAGCCTCACGCAGCAGACCTGCCGAGGGAGGGGTCAGAGCCAGGGCTGGATAAACAAAAAGACACAAAAACAGGGAGGGGACAGAAAGGCAATGGAAAGTGGACGGGGCCAGCAGACCCACCAGAGCCATGAGCACAGTGGGATATCAGTTCGTTGGCCAGGCAGACCCAAAGCCGAATGAGGGAAGGGCTGTGGGCTCAGGGAAGCCAGGGACATGGGCTGGGACAGATGGACAAGCAGGCAGTATCCTGAAGTCGGGCAAGGAGCCACGGGCGGACAAAGGGAAGGCCCCACTGACCCTGCACGTGCAGCTGGGCCCGCCGGCGGTCGCCCTCGATGAAGATGGCAGTGCCCAAGAAGGCTGCCCCACCCAGGGCCCCCACGAAGGCGCAGAGCATCAGCGAGAACTGCAGGGCCCGGAACTCAGACAAGAAGGAGGGGGGCCAGCTCCGGCGGAGGCGGTCGGAGATCTGCAGAGGGACGAGAAAAGGAGTGCCAGGAGAATGAGCCACAGAGAGGGAGCCCCTGGACTCTAGAAGGACAGAGGTGTCAGGAGCCGGCAGTGAGGGGCAGTCTGGAGGACCGGGGAAGGTCTTGTGGCCCCACTGTTCAAGGTGCAAACAAAACCCTGGATGCCCGGCTGAAGGTCCAAGGTGAGGGGTACCTAGCACACAACACACAAACACCCAACTGGGGTCAAACCTTCTATGTCGGCCCAAGCTCAGGCTGCTGCCTGCTGGCAGGTGCCAGGAATTCAGTGTCCCCGATCCCCACCCCAGGCCCAGCTGAGGGGCAATGCTCACCAGGCCGATGAGGTAGGGGCTCCCAGCATCACCCAGCAGGTGGGACAGCACGATCTGGAAGGCCTCAGCAGTGGAACGTCGTGTGGGGATCACCACGTACTGGGGAGAGGAGGGGCAGGGGGCAGAGGGCAAAGACAGGGCCAAGGCTCAGCCCAGGCTGAGACCAGAGGTGAACCCAGCTCAGAGGTATAAATGGGGCACACGCCCAAACTACAGGCCCATCTGGGGCTGACTGTGAAGTCAGTCTGGATTTGGGTTTTGGAAAAGGGGCACAGGCCACAGGGAAGGCAAGTGAGGCCTCCTGCCCCCACTCCTTACTTCCGTCAGCCTTTGGGCCAACCCTGCAGCGGCCCACCTACTCACCAACAGAATGTCAGCCACAATGGCCCAGTTCATGGACAGCAGTGTCTCTCCAATAAAGATGAAAATCTGGGGGGTTGGAGATGGGGAGACCGAGGTGGTGAAGACAGTTGTCTCATCACAAGAAGAGCAAACACATGGAGGGTACACCATGTACCAGGGCCATCTACTAACTCACTTAATCAAATCCCCAGAATACCCCTGTGAGACAACATTCATTCTTTTTTTTTTTTTTAAAGCCATCATTCCTATTTTACAGATGACAAACTGAATACAGACAGGTTAACTCACTTGCCTAATGCAATGTCACACAGCTGGGAAGAGCCATACCTGAGGTTGAAAACCAGGCATTCTGGTTCAAGTTGTCTCCAAACCACCACCTGGTTGACCCCAGGCCTGCCCCAGTATACCGTTCCTCCCCGCTAGACCCAGAACACCCCCTGTGACACCTGATGGCTACTCACATAGGTGGCCACGATGCTACCACGGGCACAGGCAAGGGACAGGAAGAGGAAGGGCGCAGAGCCCAAGAGGCCAGCAGCACAGACCAGAGGGTCAGCGCGGGGGTTGGATCGGCGGAGGCGGCGGCTGATCTCCACACCCAGGCCCACACCCAGGACCCCGGTCAGGCAGGTGATGAGCCCGAAGATGAGGCTGGGAGCAGGGGGAGGGTCATGGAGGCCAGTCCGTCTGCCTGCAAAGCCCCCTCACCTCACCCCCGTGGCCTGGAGAAGATGCTCTGTCCCAGCCACCCACACAACTCAGGTCTACCCGGGTCCCCGTGGGTCACACAGCTCCGAGAGGAAGGGATCAGCCCATCACCTATTTCCCACAGCGGGAAACTGACACTGGGGGAGGAAGGAGCCTGAGTCTGAATCAAGACTCTCTCCACTCCATCCCCTACCACCTGCAGGTCACCTAGCCTAACCCCCATCTTGGGTACCTGTCAGAGGATGAGCAGGAGTCTCCAGGAAGGCAGGGTGGGGTCTCCCCCAAGACCACACGAGAACGCAGCAAGAACGCCGGAGCCCAAAGAGCCAGGGAGCCCGTGACAAAGGCCACAGCAGTGAAGCCAAGGGAAGAGAGGATGAAACTAGGACTGTAGATAGTTGAGGGGAGGAAGTCAGACTCCATGGAGGTGTCAGGGTAGGAGACCTCCTTTCCTGGCGTATTTTGGTAAGGCCGGGACACTGGGTGTGGAAGCAGTCTTGGATGGGCCTGGATCTAGGCCTATAATTCAAGCTGCTGCCACATGGGGGCAGTGATGACTGAACACCTGGCCTTGGGGGAGGGCCAGTGGGCAAAAAAGAGGACACTTGCGTAAATCTCAAACCAGACACCAAGGGCCTTGCCAGGAGGCCTCAAATGTTGAGTTAGAATGGAACTAAACTCACTTTCTTGCCAGAGCCCTCAGATCTGCCCACCACGAGGTGGGGTTGAGGGGCGGTGAGTCTGAGTGGCGCTCCACAGCTCCCCTTGGCGGCTCCCGCACTACCAGGAACAGCAGCAGAACAGCCACCACCCCTAAACCTGGTGTCACCTGGGGAAAGAGTGGGCTTCAGGACAGGCATGGACAGGGACACACCGTACCTCTGAGGCTGGGAAAAAGTGAGGGTATACAAAGATAACTCAGACTCCGAGGTCTGAAGCCCCAGGCAAGTGCCTGCCCATAGGCGCTGAGCCCACGTTCAGGAGTGGGGGGCAAGTGCCACTAGGAGCCCCTGTTTCTGCAAGCCTAACTGCTTCCTCTTTGGTAACAGCACCCTAATTTCCTTCTAGGAAAGTACTCCCCCTACTTCTCTTAATCCATGTGGTTCAAACAGGGGGGGCTTGTAACCCAGACTTGGCTGACAAGAGTAGTGGTAACATCCCTGGCCTCTGTCATTGATTCAATGGCAGGTATGTGACACACGTTCATCTAATCAGACACCATCCAGGACTACTGCTCAAGGATCTGGGGTGCCAACTTTTCTAAACGGGAAGATAAACATGTGGAGCTTTCACTTGCTTGAGAATGAAATTAACATAGAGCAAAGTAGAGCCGAGAAAAAGAATGATTGAATTCTTGTGACGAAGAATCCAGTCCTGGATCCAGCTCTACCTGAAGCTCACTCTGGGACTTTCCATTAGGAGAGCCACCAGAGTCCCATTTGGGGGCTTACAGTTTTACAGGGCACCTGTAACTGCAACCAACTACTACTACTAACTACTACTACTTACCTACTAGTACTTATCTACTAGCTACTAGTAGCTAAGCTAGTGACTTAGCTAGCTAAGTTACTAAGCTACTAGTAGCTAGTAGATAAGTTACTAGTACTAGTACTTAGCTAGCTAAGTTACTAAGCTACTAGTACTTATCTACTAGCACATGGCTTCGTGGTGAGGGCAGCCAGGTTTCCTATGGGCTTGGCGGCACAAGCACTGCCTTCAAAGGGGGTGTGTCTGGAGGCAGGAATGGGAAAATCCGTGAGAACGTTGCTGAGCCTCCCCCAGGTAGTGTCCACACTCACCCGCAAAGCCCAGTGCCAGTCCCCAGCCACGTCCTTGACTTTGGAGCCTGCAATGTAACCCAGACCACTGGGGAAAGGGGATGGGAGAGGGGAAGGGCAGCTGGTCAGTCAGGCCCCACGCCAGGTCCTCTGCCACCCCTGCACGCCTCCCCAGGCCCACGGCCCCCTCAGGTACCTGCCCACGGGGATGGCAAAGTAGAACACACTGAGCATCCGACTCCGCTGGTCTGCCACGAAGAGGTCAGCGATGAGGGTGGGTGCGATGGTGGAGTAACTGGCCTCCCCGACCCCCACCAGGCCCCGGGTCAGAAGAAGCAGCCAGAATCGCTGGGAAACGAAACGTGGGGGAGGTGGCACCCCGCCCTGCAGCCAGCCTCCCAGCCTCCC